CATCGGCTGCGCCATGCACGTCTGCTTCTCCATCTCGGCGTAGTACCTGTGTGTTTTGGAGGAAGGAGAAAATTAAAACCATGTAAACACACACACCACNCACGTCTGCTTCTCCATCTCGGCGTAGTACCTGGGAGTTTTGGGAAAAAAAATTAAGACCATGTAAACCCACGACCTTAAAATGCTCACCAGAGCAGCTGGTTCATGCCGCAGGCAAAGGGAAAGAGCACCAGGAGGTAGATGCAGAAGAACTTGAGAATGTCTATCACCATCCGCCCCAGGCTGATCTGCAGCGGCCCCAGGTAGGGATTGACCGAGAACATGTACACCAACTTCAGCGAGCTGAAGATGTTGGCGGTGGCGAAGAGGCCCTCCGAGAGGAGGATCGGGTCGAAGTCGTCCCACATCTGCCGCTTGTCGTACATGATGGTCCCAAACTGGATCTCCCGCTGCGTTTGGTAGTAGGCGATGACGCGCAGGGTGATCGTCGCCACGTACAGTGAGTTGCTAGGGAAAGAGAGGAAATGATTAAAAGACGGTGATTGGTAAAAGTATTTTCTTTTCCTTTACTTGATAAAGTCGAGAATGTTCCACATGTCGCTCATGTACTCGTTGATGCCCAGATCCCACAGTTGCTTGATTTCACTCCAGATTAGGCCTGTAGAAAAAAGAAAAAAAGAAGAAAGCTGTTAGCTCAATGATTGAGTTAATTGCTCGCCTCGATTGGCTATTACCCAAGACCCAGGCGATGATGGCGAGTTCAATATACGACGGCAGTGCTCCTCTGCAAAAAAGAAAATTGATCAATCAGAAAGGAAAAAGGGGAGATTTGTTTCCCCTCGGCTAATCACATTTGTGTAAACACTAAATCACACAAACCTTTTGGAGAGATTCGCACCGCCGATGGTGGTGCTGCTGCTGGAAGACGGTGATGGCATTGATGAGGATGAGGATGATGGCATTGTGGTGGTGGTGGTGGTGGTGGTGGAAGACGTTGAGGAGACATTAAAGAGAAAGCCACTTCCGAAGAAGGGGTTGTTCTCAATCCGCTGCGAGGCGAGCATCAGAAGAACTGATGGGGGCAATTAAAGGGGAAAAAGGAGAATGAATGAAAATTAAGAAAATGAGAAGAGGAGACGACAGCTGCAGTGTAAACACACACACACACAGCACAAAACCGATCAAATATCCAAAGCTGTGAGTTCCCCGCTGTGCAAGAGCATTTGGCATGCACTGTTATGCAACCCCGACATAAACACACTCTCAGCACTGGTTTCAAGTTTTAGTTGTGTGTTTTTTAAGTGCACTGACACTGACTAAAACAAGAGCTAAAGCACCGAAGATGACACTCTACTCGACGACTTACCGAGAAATGAGACGTAGCTGGCGGAGTGGCAGATGAACTTGATGAAGGGCTTCTTGGTGAAGCGGCCCAGGGCGGAGCGGGGGGCGAGGATGTAGGCGAGGGCGAGCAGCGGAAAGAGCGCCCCGATGCCGATCAGCTGCAGCGTCTGCGCGACGATGTTCCGCCGGCGAAAGCCGGGCACGCTCTTGTACCAGATACTGGCGAGCAGCTGCTGAACGTTGGCGTGGGCGCAGAACTAAAGAGGGAGGAAATAAAGGGAAATTACGTAAACATCAGCCGCCCACCACCACCGAACTCACCATCTTCTGGCGAACGCTAATTGCCAGCTTCAGGCGGGACAATTGCATTCTGTCGTGATTCTCCAGCGGGTCGCCATTCGGGTCGTAGTTGAGCAGTAGCTAAAGAGGGGAAGAAAAGAGGTGAAAGATTGAAAGTGTGAAAGTGGAAAGTGATTGAATAGGAAGAGAATTTCGCAGTGATCAGCAGAATTTCCCTTCGAATAGAAAGAGAACTTGCTCAAAGAGTTCTCTCACTCACTTCCAGCTCCTCCGAGGTGCGCGTGTGGTCGAGCAGTGTGGTGGCGAACATCTGACACTGCTTTCGCAGGGCGAGGTACTCATTCTTGAACTCCGGCTCGAGGACTGAAAGGCGGCGCAGCTGCCAGGCCAGCTCAAAGGCCGTCAGAATGGGGTCCTTGCTGGAGAGCTGTGTTGANTCCGAGGTGCGCGTGTGGTCGAGCAGTGTGGTGGCGAACATCTGACACTGCTTTCGCAGGGCGAGGTACTCATTCTTGAACTCCGGCTCGAGGACTGAAAGGCGGCGCAGCTGCCAGGCCAGCTCAAAGGCCGTCAGAATGGGGTCCTTGCTGGAGAGCTGTATTTTAGAGAAAAATAAATTAAAAATTGTAATTAAAAGCACAACAGTTTGAATACTTACGGCAATGAGCGAGGGCGAGGAGAGCGCCTTGTAGGCGTTGATGCGCGAGCGAGAGTAGCGCAGGCAGTCTGAGTTCGGCGTATCGATGAGAGAATAAAATGATTGGGGAAAAATGCCAATAAAGTACAAATAATGTAAAAAGAGGAGGAGAGGAATGCAGAACAGCAAGACAAACCTTCTTTGCTGGCAGCGAGGCACTCCTTGCAGCCGCAGCGGGCGTCATGTGGAGCGGGAATCTGCAGAAAAAGGGAAGAAAATTGTGTGCATGTGTTCCGAGAGGAATTAGACATTAGAGGGAAATTAAAAGAGAAAAGGCAAAGGCAATACAACGGGGATTAATCAGAATCACAGGGATCAGAGAGAAAAAGATTGCTCTAATTAGATTTTGATTGGGCGAAACCGAGAGAGAGAGAGAGAGAGAGCATTAGCTTTGTCAATTGAACTGAACTCCTTTCTCGCTGACTAATTAATTTCTCGCTCTAACCACCTAGAGGTCAATCAAAAGATAAAGCGGAAAAAGACGTACCGGGGAAATGTTGCGATCGAGTAGTATCTTGATGATCTCGTAGTTGTTGCGGTGGGCGGCCAGCACCAGCGGCGTAATGTCGCTGGTGAAGGTCTCGCACTCGGTGCTCTCCCACGACTGCCAAAAAGAGGTGTTTTGTTAATTATAAAAACTTTGAAGTTAAGTTCNGTCAATTGAACTGAACTCCTTTCTCGCTGACTAATTAATTTCTCGCTCTAACCACCTAGAGGTCAATCAAAAGATAAAGCGGAAAAAGACGTACCGGGGAAATGTTGCGATCGAGTAGTATCTTGATGATCTCGTAGTTGTTGCGGTGGGCGGCCAGCACCAGCGGCGTAATGTCGCTGGTGAAGGTCTCGCACTCGGTGCTCTCCCACGACTGCCAAAAAGAGGTGTTTTGTTAATTATAAAAACTTTGAAGTTAAGTTCACTTACATGAGGCGTCCCTGGCGTATGTGTGACGCTCTCCTGGTCGAGCAGCAGCTCCACCGCCTCCACGAACTCCTCATTGATGGCGTGCAGCAGTGCGTCCTTCATCTCGACGCCGGCGTCAATCAGCAGCTCAATCATCTCCAGGTTCTCATTGTCGATGGCCATCAGCAGGCCACTTCGGCCCAGAGGGTCGCAGCAGTTGATGTTCAGCTCTTGGGGGCGTGATTCGTGAATTAGGCTGTTGGAAAGGAGGAGGGATTTAAGGGGTTTCAAATCCAAAAACCTTTGGTTACAAAACTCACCGCCTCACTGCGGGCTGATCGCCTCGGACCACGGCGAGGAGGAAGCGCTTTTCAGTCAGTGTCAGCGGCTTGAACTGATTGAAGGCTCCTTGTTGTTGCTGTTGCTGCTGAAGCTGTCCAGTGCTCCGCTGGCTATCTCCTCGACCTCCGCCTTTTCCCTCGCTCATGTTTTCATTCTCCGTCTTCTTCTTGAGCTTGCGACTGAAGCTCTTCCTTAGCTCCTCCGCCAGTTCATCATCTAAATCTTCCTCCTCCTCATCATCATCGTTGTCCTCCTCCTCTTCTTCCTCGCCGTCGTCCTCCTTCGCCGAGCTATTGGTGTTGTGGCTGTCCTCTCGGGTGAGCATCGAGGGCCGCCCGTGCAGTGGCCGAGGATGATGATGGCTTCGGTGGTGGTGGTGGTGGTGGTGCTGTGATGTCCGCTCCAGGGTAGTGCCCGTAGAGTCGCACAGAGAGCTGCTGCCCTGCTGCTGCTGCTGCTGCTGACTGCGAAGGTTGCTGCTAAGACCGGTGGCGGCCATGCTGCCTAAGAGAGTGGTCACGCCAGCGCCGGTCAGCTCGTCGACGTCCATTGAGGCTGCAAAATGTTTAGTAAACTGCTAGTGAATCATCATAGCAGAAGTTGCAGTGTTGCATCTTTTTGGTAGTAGACAAATTCTTGGCTGAAAAAGTGCACTGGTAGGTAGATATTTCCGCTGATAATCTCTCTCTGACTTGATGGCTTAATTTGATGGTGCGTGGTTGGCAAAAACTTTTTGCCACAAGAGAGGGAAAATTAGTAGAGCNCACAAGAGGGGGGAAAATTAGTAGAGCAGCACAATCGAAAGATGTGGAGGGAGAGTTGATGATTATAATGTTGAGAATGGTGTGCAGAGTTTTGGTAAGTGAGGCACTGTGTACTATGTTATGAAGCAGCAAAAAGTAGTGAAGATGTAATGCAGTGATTAGCAGTGA